TCGTGCTCCGGCGGCATGGCAGCAGCAGGAGGCCTCCTTAGGTTCAGAACAGTTTCAGGTTAAGAACAGACCTCCGGAACGAATTAAGTACGTAACCAGAGGTACCACTGTACTGAATCCACCAGATCATCACTTACACCCAGTGCTGTTTTTCTCAAAAGAGAGGTGCCAGAGCTTACTATTCATTAATTCATTCATTTATTGAATTTATATACCGCCCTATACCTGGAGGTTTCAGGGCAGTTCACAAAGAAGATCACAATATATAACAACAAAATAAAAAGAATAATCCAATAACACCCCCCCCCAAAAAAAGAGCCACCTTTTAAAGGGTATAGGATGTTGACAGTGCCGGATTTACATATAAGCTAAACAAGATATAGCTTGGGGCCCCACGCTCTTGGGGGCCCTCAAAAAATTTAAAAGAAAAAACAACTGGATGTACATTTCCAAAATATAAGAAAATAAAAAATAAAACCTACATACAGCAACAGTGTTTTGGGTTGTGTAGGCTCCTATGATGTATGTAATGGGCCTCACCTGCTAGCCTGCTCCCTAAAATATCACTGGTTTGTTATTATCATTTCATGTTATAGCAAGTTTCCAGAGACTAGATTATGAGCCTTTATAAATTGTGTTTCTAAAGAAACTTTTGTTATTGCCAAATGCCAATGTGTTTGCATTATTAAATTTGTTATGAATAAAAAAATCATTTTAAGTTAGAGCTTAATTCCCCCCCACTATTAATATATTTCTTATTTGTTTTTCACTATTAATATACTTCTTAATTGTATTTCAGTTCAACAATTACTTTGATAAAATACATATGTGCAAATGGCTTTAGATACCTATTAGGTCCATAAATTACCATATACCATATATTCAACACAAAAAAAGCTACAATTTGTTGTTGACAAAGGACAGCTGGACATATAAAGGGCCCCATTACCTTCAGTAGCTTAGGGCGTCATCAAACCTAAATCCAGCCCTGGTTGTTGATCAGGTCAAGGGAAGGCCTGGTTGAAAAGGAACATTTTTGCCTGGTGCCTAAAGATGTACAATGAACTCTTCCCTTGTTATCGGAGCTGTGGACAAATCATTATCTAGTTCTGTATTGACTGGCAACAGCTCTCCAGGGCAGGCTTCCTCAAACTCTGCCCTCCAGATGTTTTGAGACTACAATTCCCTTCATCCCTGACCACTGGTCCTGCTAGCTAGGGATCATGGGAGTTGTAGGCCAAAAACATCTGGAGGGCCGAGTTTGAGGAAGCCTGCTCCAGGGCAGTGGCGTAGCGTGGGGGGTACAGGGGGGCCGGCCGCACCGGGCGCAACATCTGGGGTTAGGGCAAATCCACAGGTTAGGGGGCGCAAATCCACGGGTTAGGGTGCGCAAATCCACGGGTTAGGGGGCGCAAATTACTTGCCTTGCCCCGGGTGCTGACAACCCACGCTACGCCACTGCTCCAGGGTTTCAGACAGGGTTCTCCCCCAACTTTACCTGGAGATGCTGAGAACTCAACCTGGGACTCCTTGCAGGCAAGGCAGATGCCCCAACACTGAGCTATGGCCCTTTCTATCAAAATACTCCAACCTATTTGTGGGTGGAGAAATTGGGGGTGCCATCTCACTGAACTTCTCCAGGGGAAGGAGAACCTCTCCAGAGCTTTCTCAAAGATGGAGGCTCACCATTAGCAGGGACAGTTATTGCTGTTTTCTCTAAAAAAAACCCTAACATTTGTTTTCGCTGCCACTTCAATGAAGGAGAGAATCAGCAACGGCGTTGGCAGCCTGGCAGCTATTTTGCTTCCTCCACAAACTCCCCAAACCTTGCACCATTTTGGGGTATCGTTTGTGTGAAATGGTGACCACCGCAAAACATGGTGGCGAATGTTCTGCCCAGTGGCCACCTTTTTTCTGGAGCGGGGAGAGAGGAGAGGGAGAAAACTATATATCCATAAAAAGACCTCTGAGAAATGTTGAATTAGATCTACTTACAACTCAGGGAGGGGGACCTCCAACTTTTGTTGGACTCCCCCCAGCCCCCAGCAAGCTTTTAATTTATTTAACAAATTTTATATTTCGCTTGATTGTAATAAAAGCTCTAAGCACTTTAGAAAACCATTAACAAAAAAAAACAAACACAAAAAAATGACCTGTGAATGATGGGAGTGGGAGGGCTACACATTTCTCCTCCCTGCCGTAATCAATAAAACACATTGATAAATTGTATGTTAAATGGTTATTCACTGCTGAATGTATAAAGCACATTCAGAGCCCCTTGTTCATGTTAATACGTATTGTGCAATACAATAAGCTGCAATGCCATGCCTACAAAAATGGGAATAAGGATGGAAAGATCTGCCCATTTTGGTTCACTAGGTTTCTCGTTTTTACAATTTTAAATTCAGTTCTCCACATGTTGCAGCCCTTTGTGATAATATATATATATATATATATATATATATATATATATATATATATGTGATCCTCATGAAAATTCATCAGCCTTTTAGTGTGAATTTTCCATAACAAACACACTTTTTAATGCAGTTTTGACCAATGTACCCATTTTTGGCAAGCAACCTTCCCTAATAGAATGGCTGTTGTAGGTTATTTTCACTAATATATCCATTTGTTATGCACACCTTCCCTTGACAAATGCATTTTTGTAAACGCTGGCTGGGAAACGGTGTCGCAAATTCAGATAAGGGCGAATTTTGAAGGATAGCTGTGTTTTGGTTCATAATAGTTTTCGGAAAGTGTGGATTTGATGGGTTCAGCTTGAAATGCATTTTCAATCAAATTTCTCCTGCATCCCTAACTTGGGAGTAAACCCCATTGAAGGCAATGTGATTAACCTCTGGCTAGGCATGCATAAAATTTTGCTGTATATTGTCATCCTGCATCTAAGCAGCATCCAAACCCTGGCCATCCTGGTGTCTCTGAGAAGCTAAGGGCATAGAGGAATTGGGCATCTTCTTCTGCTTCTCATCCCAATGCCCACAGTTCATAGGCACCCTGCCTCTGAACATGAAAGTCTTCTCTGGGTACCATGTTCCTCTTAGACCATGAGTCCATTTAATTCATGGTCATCCATTGCTACCTCTTAAATGAATTAACAACACATGTTGATTGTGCACTGTGTGATTATGAGTGGGTAGTTAAGGGCATAGAAAGTTGCCTTATACTATGCCAGGCAGTGGATCTCTCTAGCTCCATCATTGCCTACACCAGCTGGCAAAAGCTCTGCCTATGTGGTCCAGCTGAAGATTGAAGCTGGGACCTCTTGCATGCAACGCAAATGCCCTACCACTGAGCTAATCACTCACTCTCTGCCAAATGAAAGGAACATAAGAAAGTGCCTTATACTCAGAGCATTCGTCCACCTGGTTCAATATTCTCTATACAGGCTGGCAAGGTTTCTTGGGGGTTTCTAGATTACTTTCTCCACCTTACCTGGAGATGCCAGGGATTCAATCTGGACACCATCTGCAAGCAAGGCTGCAGCTCTAACCACAGGTGCATTGCAACTAAACTCATGGTTCCACAGGGCTATACCAAATGTCACCAGATTCTGTGGAATCAACTCAGTAAATCTGGACTAGGGGAAATTAACATATTCCTTTGCAACAGATGAGGAGAAGGTCCATTGAGATTCAGATTATCACCCTTTCTACTTTCTCACATTCGTTGCTACTTTCATTGTTGCAGTGAAATAACTTTAATGTCTGAGTTTTTCTTTTTCTGCAGTTTAATGGGTTTTGTCAGACCGGGCTAGATACAAAGTCCCATTTGAAAGGGAAACATTTTCTTATTTCTCCATCACAGGAGAAAAGCTATTAAAAACTTCCTTATAACCACTTAATTAAAAAAAAGAAACCAGTTATACACACAGTATATGAAAAGGAACAGCTATCAGCCCTTGATGGTGTAGTTTGTCTCTACAATTACCTTTAGAGAGAATCCATCTGCAGTCGTGTGAATATTTACTTTGGAATAAGCTTTGCAGAAAACAGAGGCATTTATATTCCAATAAACAGACACAGACTCAGGCTGTAAAGCTCATGAGAAGTTTTAAATAGCATTCCCTTCACAAAAATAGGTTCGAAAGCCTAAAGTTATTGTTACATTTAAAGCTCCTTGTTGAATTTTGGCAGCAAAAACAAATACATTTGTGTAACTGGAATAAATACAGATCATTCACTTTCATTGTGTCGAGACTTTAACAGTGTGATTTCCTCTGTACATTTTTTTTTTAATGGCTATGTGTGGTTTTAAAAGATGAACATATTTCAAAACAGCAGTAAGATGTTCTTTTTTTAAAAAAGAAATCCTCATGTTGGTCTCTTTAGTGATGTAATGATGAATTAATAGCATGTATTCATAATAAAATAATTCAAAATGGGTTCTATAGCTTCAGAGTTAGAGACACACAGACACACACCCCAAATCATTGAGGCTGAGATATTGTGGCAGGCCTGCTTTTAGAATCCAAACTCTTATCTTCTCTGCAACTCCCGCTTCATTGAAAAGAAACAGATTCTTTGCTCCATTACAAACTTTACATCCCACCATGACCCACTCTCTGTCAAAACACTGGTAATGCCATTTCTGAACATCTGCTTCAGTACACAAACATGCATTTGCTTGAAGTATCCTTTGCATGAAAGCTTATAACAAAATTCACCTGCAACACACACCCTCAGGTAGAACAAACTGGAAACTGATCACAGGCACTGTAGTCAAATACAGAATCTCATTCTCCATCAATGGAGCCATTCCCGGATATTGACAAATGGAACTCAGCGATTGCCTGTTTTTCAGTGGGAAAGTCCTTGTACAGTCTCGGAGCTTCAGTGCCAATCCCTACACACAGTTTTGTCTCACAGTCAACGGCTTTCGCTATTTGCAAAATGCAGCGTACAGGTGAGCAGAGCTAGCAGGCTACAAAGCAACCCTTTTCTCTAGGAAACAACTGGGGAGAAATAAGAGTTACCAACCTCTCAGAACTTGTTCAGTCCAGGAGTACCAAACAGCGAGCTCTTCCCTGCGACGTGTCGACGCGATACAGAATCTTTGAGCATCCTTGCATAGCGGTGAAATTCCTCCAGCTGATCCGAGAAACCCCAGAGGACCAATGAGAGATTCCCCTTCTCCTCTTGACACCAGCCCACGTCTGGAAGCTGCCTCCCCACTCCCTTTGTTGCCACAAAGCAGCCAGGTTTTCCCAGTTGCTAACTAATTGCAGGAAACCGTCTCTGCTGCAATATCAGAATCGCTTGCTGCATTGGGCTCGCGGTGGATCGAGCGGGGCTGATCTTCCGAGCGACACCTGCTTGTGTCAAGCCAGAGGGGCTCTCCCTCCTCCTCCTCCTCCTCCTCCTCCTCCTCTTCTGTTCGGCACAATTCACCTCCTGGGGGGCTGCGTGTTCCTGATCATCACATCCACGCCACTGTCCAGGGCTTTGCTGTCTGCAGTCCCTTGCTTGCCCTAGCCAGAGGCTGTGCAAACAGCCCATTGAGGGGAAAGGAGCTAGATGCACAGCACTGAGGACCAGATAAGAAAGATGGGGAGATTTTTTAGTTTTGCATCAGCCCAATGGCATCGCCATGGTGCCATTTGAAAAAGACCCTTTGCCTGCTTTATCCCTCTCCCCCACCCCCTTATAATTTGCATGCAGCTCCAGAAAGCCCAATTTTCCAGCACTTCTCCCTCCCCACATCATAACAAGCAATAGAGAGCAAAGGAGGAGGGTTAAGTCTTATAATGTATTTGTATTTTGAGTGAGGAGGAGGAATTAGAAGTTATTTCTTTGTCCAGGCTTGTGCGGTGAACGAGTACAGGAGTGGAAGGGTCAGGAGGAGAAAGCACATCAGACAAAATCGAAATTGAAATCCAAGGACCAGATTACCATTTTGCGCTCTTTAATACATGTTTGAAAGCTGGCGACTTGCCCCTTGAAGCAGCAGCAGGGGGGTCCCTGATCCAGAGCCTGCTTTTAACAGCCGCTGTGAATCATGTAGCATCTATTGTGCATTTACATTGCAATTGTATGCATATGTTTTTTCCTTGTAAGTCCCTCTGTGTGCATCCCTAGTAAGCATGCTTAGGGTTGCAGCTTTATTGCCCAAGGGCCCCTCCAGACTGGTGTCTTGTGCAACGTGTCACAGACACAATCGTGGTGCATTCATGCCGGACTTAAACGGGACTGTTCACACATCATTTCGCTTTATTTGTTGGCTCTGTGATGCTTCCCCAATGTCGCCACAACATTGCCACCATTGCCATCTGGAAGGGCAGTCTTGTACTATATTGCAACAGAAGATGGGGCAAAAAAACCCCAGCAACCCAGTACAAAATTGTGACATAAAAGGTTACAGGATTTCAGCAGGATGTTATGGGACATGCACTGATTGAAAACCCAGCCGTGTGTCCACCCCGAAACTTTTGCAGGAACATACTGCAATAGTGTGATGACTTATAACTGCCCAGATACCATCATGAACACAAATATTCATGGATGCACAGTAGAAAGGATACCTGGAGGGCCCCTAGCTTGAATAATCAACTCTGTTTTGTCCTCCCCACTTCCCTGAGTGGGGAGAAGTTCCAAGACCACATTTTGGCATCCTTTCCCAAGGAGAGATCACAAGACAAACTCAGTATTACAAAGCAGAGCATACAGGGGCAAGCAGTATAGCAGATCTAAGATACAGAGGAAAGAATCTGCCCCTGGCTAGGTGCCTTCAGCTCAAAACTTCTCTGGCTCACTCTGTTTCCAAAGTTGGGTTGCTACCAGACGGTCAGCATTTTGCAGGCGGGATTTAAGCACATCCCAGAAATGTTGGCTTATACAATTAAAGGGAATCGGAGAGCTCTGTTATCCCGGTGCAACAAATCTGCTTTAGAAAAGGAGCATGCTTTCTGCAGCTGAGAATGTGACAGGGAAATGCATTGTAAATGGTGAAATGAATGAAGAACAGAAAAGCATATAAAGCGCGCGCACACATAAACACCCAAGCAGGGAAGGGCTGACAGTGCATCTGCCTCGCGTGCAGAAGCTCTTAGGTTTAATCCCCTGCGAATGCCCCCTTTCTGAAATTCTGGAGAGTTGCTGCCAGTCAGTGTACACAATACTGATCTAGACGAACCTATTCCAGCCCATTATATACCGTAGTATGACTCAGCATAACGTTATTGCCGAAAACCCCAAAACAAAGCAAATTTGCATAAAAGTGGCATGTGCTAATTGATATGAATAGAGGCACATTTTGCAATAATTACTGTAATTTAAGTAAAAATGCAAAACCTGTCACCACGGTGGGGAAGAGTGATTAGGTGACCTGGGTCCAGGTGTTGCCAGCTGCTAATGGGCCATGCCAATTACTCTGATGTCCTTTCTTACAGTTCTTGATCTTTAAACCAGACTTAGACTGGGGATAACTCCTCCTCAGAGAAGAAGAAGTGTTTGGATTTGATATCCCACTTTATCACTACCCAAAGGAGTCTCAAAGCAGCTAACATTCTCCTTTCCTTTCCTACCCCACAACAAACACTCTGTGAGGTGAGTGGGGCTGAGAGACTTCAAAGAAGTGTGACTGGCCCAAGGTCACCCAGCAGCTGCATGTGGAGGAGCGGGGAAGCGAACCCGGTTCACCAGATTACGAGTCTACTGCTCTTAACCACTACACCACACTGGCTCATGTCAAGAAGTGCATGGATGGGCAACTGAGGGCCAAATGGGACTTTCTGTTTGGCCAATGGACTCTCCCCAGAGTATGCCTCTCACCAGACCTGCTTTGCCCCCTCGTTGAGTATTTTTGTCCGGCTGGAACATGTCCTTGAGCTCTGATGATGCTTCTTGCCTGCGTTGATGGAGAGATGTGTGGGATATAAAGATGCTAGCCTAACGAACGAAGGTAAGATCAACATCTGTGGCTTCGCCTCGTTTATCTCCAGCCCTGCTCACAAATGGCACATGGCCCCCAGGACGTTGCCCAGAATGTAGCCCTCAGGTTCCCCACAGAGCTGCCCTCTGTCAAGTAGGACCCACAGCTACCTTATTGGTGGCACAGAGATCTTTCTTGCCTGGGAAAAGCAACGGAGAAGCCTCAGACTGCCAGAACGCAGAGAGAGCTCATTTTATTAAGGGAAACTTGCCTTTTGTGTTGCCGATAGAGTGTTTCTCATATCTTGGCAGCAGTTGCCAAGAGTAGGGAGAATACTGTGCCTTCTAATAAGTGTTGCATTATTATTATTATTATTATTATATATTATTAATTATTAATTATTATTCTGTCCTGCCGATAACTCTGACCTTGGCAGGAACTATTTGAAGGGGAAGAGATCTGTATTTCGCATCTATTTTTCTTTTTCTTTTATTATTTCGCTCACTTGCTTCTCATGATTGGCTAACTGAAATGGATGTCTTGGCACATAGGGTCAACGCGACATTAATTCAATCATAGCCCCCGGCCTATTAGTGGGATTTAGCTTTAGGGATGATCTGAAAAACAAACCACAGCTGAAACGAGCTCTGATTTCTCAATTTGTGCCTTGGGACGTAGCTTTACGCCTGTGGTATGGAAGCTTGTTGAGTTCGAGGGCCACATTCTAACATTCCAAGGGCCACATGCCAGTGCTGCGCAGGGCCAGGGGCAAAAGAAGAAGGAACAACAAATGTAAAATTTGACTTCCTATGTTAGGTTAGTTGTTAGGCACACGCTCACATACCTCCTGATCCTTCTCTCAACATCAATTGGTACCACAAGGAGCCAGTGTCTGGCTGACAGTGTCCTACCTTTAAAAGCAGCAGGTATCCTGTTCTCTTGGGTCCTGAGGTCCTTGAGGTGGTGGACACAGTCTAGCAGAGTCAGGTCAAGACAAGCAAAGTGACAGGAGCCAAGCCAGCAGTAAATCACACCAAGTAAGCTGGAGTTAACTCTTTATTAGCAAAAAAGCAATCTGCACATGAGTGCAGCAATCCATCTCTGGTAGGTCTTACCCCCATGAAGCAGGTGCTAAGACTGCCTCCCCACAGCTGCCTAAGTCTCCTACCCTCCAGGGTTTCCCCCCAAGTAACCAGAGACTGCGCCTGCATGTCTGTGTTTGCTCCTCTCATTTCACACCTCTTCTGGTTCTGGAAGACTGGGAGGAGGGGAGCTTGCTGCAGCAGGAGGGGTAGACATCTGTGACTCTTCACCAACCTGACTCATCTCTGCCTCTTGGTCTCTCTTGCTTCAGCTTCTGTCTCCGATTCTGGACTTCTCTCTGCCACAGACTCTCCCAGCTCACTAAGCCTTGTTACCTCTTCAGCTTCCAGCACTTCCTCTTCCCCATCTTCCCCCTCTTCTTCCTCTGCCCACTCATCATTGACCCACCACAACTCCCCAGGCTCTGAGCCTTCTTCCCAGCTGGTTCCTCCCACCATTCCTCTGCGTCCAACCAGTCCATGCCTCTTGCTTGTGTGGGTGGAAGTTGCGAGTGATGAGGTGAGCTGGGTATAGAAGCTGCTGACTTCTGTGGGGCTGGAATGTCACCTACTGTACAAAGGTAAGAGTCACTCTGTTGTCCCACCTGTCTTTGCCCCTGGCCCCGCCCACCCATGTGGACCCTGGAAACTTGGCCCTGAGGGAACCCTCCTGCTGAAAAGGTGTAGATGTTACAAGAACTGAAGGCTACATCTTTCTTAATTATCGAAATGAGGTCTTGATGCATTGCGTTTTTACACTGTAGGCAGGAGACTTTACAAATTCTATGCCACCAGGGACCTACAGGCCATTTATTCTGAATCAATATTTGCAGAGGGGCTGCATTTCAGTGATAAAGCACTTGTTTTGCATTCAGGAAACGCCAAGTCAAAAGGTGATCTTGGATAGCAGAACTGGGAAATACCTTTGCCTGATGCCTCTGCCAGTTTGAGTGGTCAATACAGGGCTGGATGGACTAACGGTCTGATCTGGTGGTGTAAGATAAGCTTCGCAAGTTCCATATGATAAATTCTTCTTTCAGTTTCATTCATTACAGTGGTACTTCAGGTTAAGTACTTAATTTGTTCCGGAGGTCCGTTCTTAACCTGAAACTGTTCTTAATCTGAAGCACCACTTTAGCTAATGGGGCCTCCTGCTGCTGCCGCGCCGTCAGAGCACGATTTCTGTTCTCATCCTGAAGCAAAGTTCTTAACCCAAGGTACTATTTCTGGGTTAGCGGAGTCTGTAACCTGAAGCGTATGTAACCTGAGGTACCACTGTACTTGTTTTGCTGCATCTGTATTCTTCCTCCTTCTCCAAGGAGTACAAAGCGCACCGCAGTGGTGGAGGAAGGGGGTGCGGGTGGGTGCGGTCTGCCTCAGGTGTCATCACT